ACCTTCCCACTCAAAGTCATGGCCCCCCTCGGGCCCGTCCAGCAGCTCGCTCTCGGACGGGGTCTCCAGCTCGTCCACGTTGATGTCCAGGCTGCCGTCTGGCGTGCCCTCCGGATAGGTGCCTGACAGCACCGAGCCCTCGGCCCGGTCCAAAGACAGGCTGAGATTCGGCGCCGGCAGGCGTTTCTTCATGTGCCGCTTCCCGCACAGCTCCAGGGTGTTGGGGGCAACTGGGGGGGCAGAGGGGGAGAGAGGAAGGGAGGAGGATAAAGAGAAATGAGCGCAAGTGAAAAGCGACAGGGAACGGGAAAGAGAAAGGGGAGGGAAGGAAAACGGCACGGCCAGTCAGCTCTGCTGCTCCTGCACCCGCTGCTGGACAGGGGTCTGGTCGAGAAAACCTCCCCACCCAGGCCAGCTGTGCCCTGGCGCATTTGGGGGCTGGGGATCTGAGGCGGGGGGACATAGCCTCCCCACGGAGGCCCCTGCCCTGCAACACCCCCAGCACGCTCGTATTCAGAGCCTTCCCAGCTGGTTCTCTTGGTGCTGGGGTCTGACCCTCCTGTCAGCGAAGCTTGCTGCCTTCCCACCTGCCCCACCCAGGCGTGACCTTACCTGGGCTGGGCTCCTCGCCGGAGTCTTCGAGGTCCTCCTCAGAGACCTCCTCTGGGAGAGGCCTGGAAGAGAGGGGAGGCCGAGACAGTCATGGCAACGGGGCAGAGACGGCAGCCCGTCCGTGAAATCTCCCTGACGCAATTTAGCAAGGCAGAAAACCGGTCCCTGGTATCACCATGGTTGAGAGACCGTGGACTGGAGCATCCCTCCCACCTCTGCACCGCTATGGAGGAGACAGATGTTCTTGGAGCAGGGGGGAGCTAGGAGTCCTGGGTTCGAACCCCATCTCTGAGAAGGGAGCGTGATCCAATGGTTAGAGCTGGCTGGGGAGGTCAGGGCTCTTGGATTCTGTTCCTGGTTCCAGGACAGGTGTGGGGCCCGTTGGCTAGAGCTGGGGGTGGAGACTGTGCGCTCCAGCGAAGGTTATGTCATCACATTGTGCCTCAGTTTCCACACCTGTTAAATGGGAACAGTGGCACTGCCCTAGCTCCAGGGCTAGCCAGAGCGGACACAGCTGCTGAACAAGTGTCACACATTGGAGGCTCTGCTGCTGCAAACCTACCCTGCTGTGCCCCCGCTATTTTAGTCTTGGGCTGACCATGCTTAGCTGTGCCGAGTCCCCACCGTTTGTTATCCCTTGGCAGGAGTTTCAGCCAGAACAGATGCAGTGGTCTGTGGCCTGCGTGGCAGACCAGAACCAAGCCCATGGACTGAGGTCACTCACCTCATTTCACCCGAGGCTTTGAACCCCGGCCCCCAGAAGGCGTCATCCTGGCTCTCAACCCCACCTCCTGCCATTCACAAGGCAGAGCCTTTCCTGTCCTCTCCCATCCCTCTCTCCTCCCCCCTGACACTGCCCACTGGGTGAACAGCAGAGCTCATCGGGCACCAGCTGCCGGTGGGAAGGCGCTGGGAAGACAATGCCTGCAGCTGTGTTTTGTGGGACGGATCCTGTCACAGACACCAGCCGTGCACTGCTCTGTGTGACCTCAGAGTGACTGTGCTGGGCGCTTTCTTCCTGGGGAGGAGGGGGAGGGCTACATGCCTTTCTGCCTCTTTTCTGGCCCACTGCTTGTGATTCATTTCATCCCCAGCCTGGCAGGAAGGAATTATCAGACCCCGCTCTCTTTGTTCATCGATTCCCATTCTACAGGTGGGGAAACTGAGGCACAGAGCCAGGAAGCAACTCTCCCTGATTGGCTGAGCTGGACCCACAACCCTGGAGTCCTGGTTCCCCATCCCCCTTTCTATCCACTAGATTAGAATCCAGGAGTCCTGAGACCACCTGGCAAGGTTGGGGGGGCCACGCTGCCTCTACCAGGCATGGGGCTTCTTGAAGGACGCCGGCTGGAAGGGGGCAGACTCATCAGATCGACACCCATTTCGGATTTTCTAGTCCCCCCTTAGCTACATCCACTCTCTGTCGGCCGCAGCCGAAACCACTGATCACTAAGGACGCCCCCTTCCTCACACGGCAGCTCCACTTCACTGCGGTGGTGCTAGCCCTTTGGCTCCCCAAGGGGCAGTCTGTGTCACCTCCCTCTGCACCCGGGATGGGCACCAGGAGACGCCTGAGGATCTCAGCCAGCACCCCGCTGCATCTCTCACCCTGGGAACTCCTCCTCCTGCCACTCCTCCTTCAGCTCCATGTCCTGGATGGATACTTCTCCGGCTCCGTCGGGTCCCTGCAATGCCAACAGAGGCTGGGCTGGAGGAACCGGGCTGGGCTAGTCGGTGGCTGGCCCGGAGAACGCGGCTGACAGGGCAACCCCAAGGGCGGCTCTATCCTAAGGGGCTTTCCCAGGGCCAGGCCCCCGGGCTGAGAATGGAGCCCGTCAGCAGGGCAAACCCAGCCGAGCTCCTAGGAACCAAGAGCCATTAGCACCTCCCATGTGGAATGAGTTTGCTGGGCCTCAGCCTGGTGTCCCAGGTGCCCTGCCCCAGCTGGCACTAACACTGGGCCCCCCCCTTTGGCAGCCTGGGCACAGAGCACCAGGAGGGAAAGGGTCCCCCCATCTTGCCCCAGGAGGGGGGCCCCCACAGGGCAGCACTGAGCTGTCCAGCCCTGCCACTAAGAGGCCTTCCCCAGGCTGTGGGTCTTTCCCCAGAGCCCTGGATGCCTGGGGCTCGCCCCCCATGTCACCTCCTGCCCAGAGGGATCAGCACCAAACCAGGCACCACCAGGGCCCCAGCACCGCTGGCCACTGCTCCCCACTCTGCCGCTGCTGCGGGCAGGGGGCACATGCCCATCCCTCAATGGGGCCCCCTCCGCCATGGGCTGGCCCCGCTCCGGGCTTGGTCTGGCACAGCCCAGTACATCCCTCGGAGGCGGAGTGACCAGACAGCAAGCGTGGAAACCAGGACGGGGGCAGGGCAGAATAGGTGCCCATATAAGAAAAGAATCCCAAATGTCAGGGCTGTCCCTATAAAATCAGGACATCTGGCCCCCCTGCCAGAGGGCATTTTCAGTGCCAGGCCAGGGAGGGCTCCTAGTCCACCTGGAGCAGGGACCTCGCCAGAAGAGAGAAATTGTCTCATGGCCACCGCC